GAACCCCTACACACACTGCACTCCCCACACACTGAACCCCTACACACACTGAACACACACACTGCAGTCTGTGTGTGTGCGTGTATTCACCAGTCTGTGCGCGTGTAATCACCAGTCTGTGTATATTCCGTAGTGTCTATGTGTGTATTCAGCAGCCTGTGTGTATATTCCGCAGTCTCTATATGTGTGTATTCAGCAGCCTGTGTATATATTCAGCAGTCTCTATATGTGTGTATTCAGCAGTCTGTGTGTGTTTTTTGCGGTTTGTGTGTATTTAGCAGTGTGTGTGTGTATTCAGCAGTCTGTCTGTGTGTGTAAGTATTGTATTTGTTGGAGGTACCAATAAATATAAGCCTCATTTTATTGATAATTTATATTTTTATTCCTTTGAGTGGTTGCGTAGTCAGGGCCCCAGTGCATTGGTTTGCCCAGTGGACTATTATGCTGTTATGATGGCCCTGGTCTAGGGTATGTGTGTGCTCTGATGATCATGCTCCTACAAAATGTAAATGAAAATACAATAATTTGAGTACCAGGAAGGGGATGAGCTGTAACAGCCACTTCTGGCCAAGAAGAGATTAAAGACTTATGTATTTCTCTGTTTTTTTTTGTTTGTTTTTTAGTGATTTTTGTATCGCTAATGGGTGTCCCATTTTTATATTTTCAAAATCTGGTCACCCTAGACACATGGAAGGTTGGGAGGGGGAATAGGGACACATGGAGGGCTGGGAGAGAGGGCTAATAGGACACATGAAGGGCTGTGAGGTAATGAGACACGTGGAGGGGCTGGGGAGTAAAAAAGACACACAGAGGTGTGTGGGAAAAAGACAGGGAAAGGGGAACAGGAGACACACAGAGGAGCTGAGGAAGATGAACAAGAGACACACAGAGGGAGTGAGGAAGGAGAGAATGAGACACACAGAGGAGCTGTGGGGAAAGATACAAATAGAGGTTCTGGGGCCTGGGAAAGAGACAAAGGGGCTGGGACTGAGAGACACGTGAAAGGGGATTGGGGGAGAAAGACAAACTTCACTTGTGTCTCCTGCTCTCCCTGTAACTCAAAGTCGGCTGATGAGAGAAAGACGTGATATTAAAGGGACACTATAGTCACCAGAACTACTACAGTTTAATGTATTGGTTATGGTGTCTATAGCCTGTCCCTGTAGGCTGAGCACTGTAAATGCTACCTTTTCATAGAAAAGGCAGTGTTTACATTGCTGCCTAGGCACATCTCTAGTGACAGTCACTCAGACGGCCACTAGAGATGCTTTCTAGTCCAGTGCTGCACAGTGTGCAGCACCTATGTTGAGCATCTACACTCTCTGCATGGAGGTCCTGAACGCTCCCCGTAGAGATGCAATGATGCAATGTATCTCTGTGAGGAGATGCTGATTGGTGCGGTGAAGCACATCGTTTTGCCACACATACGTAATAGCCTCCCAATGCTTTCCTATGGGAGATCATCCAGTTGTTGGCCAAAGTGAAGAGCACACTCGTTAGTTCAAAATGAGCAAGATAACATAATTTTTTTACTGCTGTGCAATAGCATACATTCACAATTTCAATCCAAATGACCAAACATTTCTTAATATATCAAGGTAGTTGGACTGAAACATGGATTATATGCAAATGCACGTCTGCGTTTGCTTACAATAAATCTGCTCTGCTTTATTTCGAAGCCCTATAAGTGTTTGAGTGATAGTCTTCAGTTTTCAGTTTTTTTCCCGCTTCCATATCTGCGCACCATGCTGGCGCGATGCATTACGGGGCTGGTATGGAATTTTTTTTCCAGGGCTGCTTTTCATTCCCAGTCCGGCCTTGATGGAGTGAGACCAGCGCCGGCTCTGCTCTCAGCTTCCCTCCCCACTGACACACATGCATGGAGGGAGGCAGGAGAGGACCCGGGGAGCTCAACCAGCAGCTCAGCCGGGTTCCTCTCGCGAGTTCTGAGCGTTGCCGCGGCAACGCTCAGATTTCGCGAGAGTGAACTCTAGCCCCACACGGGGCTAGAGTTCACTCTCCACTGGACCACCAGGGAAAGCAGCAAGAACAAGAATCCCCCCTTCCTACATAAGGTAAGAAGGGAGGGGGGATATTAAGTAATGTACCCCCACCTCCACCCACACAATCACCCACACACATACAGCACACAGCACCTACACACACACAGCACCCACACACACACATACAGCACCCTTACACACACAACACCCTCAAACCACCCTCATGCAGCACACACACACACACACAGCAGTGTATGCATGTGTGTGTGTGTGTGTATATATATATATATATATATATATATATATATATATATATATATATGTGTGTGTATGTATATATATATATATATATATATATATATATATATATATTTATATAAAAAAACAGATAAAATTCTTATCTTGTAATACCTTTTTTATTGGACTAATTGGACAGAATTTTTTAATGACAAGCTTTCGGGAGAACCTCCCTTTCTCAAGTCTTTCTCAAGAAAGGGAGTTTCTCCCGAAAGCTTGTCATTAAAAAATTATGTTAGTCCAATAAAAAAGGTATTACAAGATAAGAATGTTATCTTATTTTTACATCTACATCACTGGACTAATACGGCTACAATCTCTACTTGAACACTATATATATATATATATATATATATATATATATATATAAAACACAACACACAACACAATCTCATAAGAGCAGACATTAGGCTATTAGTGTAGGACCTGCCAAAGATGGGGTACATTGACGTTGTGGCATGCTTATGCAATGTATGATCATATAATGTAACTAAACCCCCATTATTTTTGCCTAGATTAGGTGTTTTTAAAAAAACTAATAAAATCTTTCAACATTGAAGTTGCCGTTTAGTGGATAGGTGAGTGCGCTGGATCTTGTGTTTTGTATTATTTGGCCCCCAGCAGCACCCCCATTTATGCATGTTCAGGTGAGTGCAGCCAACCCCCCCTTGTTTCATATATATATATATATATATATATATATATATATATACACACACACACACACATACATATACACGCGGTGTGTGTTTGTGCTTTAGGGAGCACACCCTAATGCAATAGGCTGCGCACGCCTATGGTCACACATAGCATGATGATGCCAAATGCTGTAAATGCATTGTTTTTAACACTTTCCATTGAGACACAGCAGGTTGGCAAAGATTGATTGGCTGTAGTTCCCAAGATATCACCATGGTCTACCAAGAGGAGTCTGTCATGATGCTGGATTACAAGTGTACAAGTGAGTTTGAATGCTTTTCTAATTTTAAAAAGAGAGGGTCCTAATCTAAAAAAATTAGAAATATGTTTATATTGAAATTGAAGATGCTCTTTTAAAAGATTCAGAGGTAGATTAAGAGATAAAACTTGAGTCTTCTAAGCCTGTGAATTAATATTGCTGGTGCAGGAAAGCTATATCACTAATGAGGCACTGGACCGTCAGCAACCGAAGGAACCCATTTTTGTTTTTCTTTAAACTTCTTCTGGCACCATAACCACAATAGCAAGCTGATGACCTCAATTCAGATTTTGAGAGCCTTGTGATAAATAATCTGTGTTTTCTCGTGTTATGACTAGATACTATGATGACCTTGAGTAACAACCTTCCTCATACAGCCTTTAAAACTGGTTTTGCTAGGATAGATTAGGTATGTATTTTAACGTTTAACAGACAGGAACAATGGAATGGAACACATGATAACCAACTACTTTCACTTGTGCAACATGATAGATTTGAAATAAAGATAATGAGCTTAAAAATATTTGTAGTTTGCATCTAACAAATAGAAACATTAATGCTTTTAAGAATTGGCATTGTTTACATTTTGCAATGCATGTGCAGAGTGCCACATCGGAGGTTCAGAAGCAATATATTTAAATCATTGAATCTGTCGTCTGGTGTCAGCATACATAGTACAAGCATTGGATTGAATGCTTCTTATAAAGAAGTGCTGGATTGGCGGATTGCAGTGATTGCCAAGCACGCGCCATGCATCCTCATTGTTTCTCAATGAGTAGCATCTGACCGAGTAAGTCATCAAGAAAGAAGACCTTATTTGAGGAATATAAAACTGCCGTGACAATACTATCTTGTTGCTGGAATAGAGGTAGGTTAAGGACTTTTTAAGTTAAAAAAAGTTGTCCAGTAATCTAAACAGGCAAAGGAATCCATCTACTAAAAATATATACCTATTTTTATTAGTCTTTCATTTAAAATGGTTTAAAGCTTTATACAGCTTTATATTGAATAGCAGGCCTCCCAATTATTCAGATTTCAGGAGGGCAATCACGATTTTAGGGTCCTTTCCCGCTATCCTGGGTTTCTTCCCTGGTGTTCCATTTCTAGGGAAACCAGGGAACCCAAAAATTGTGGCATGCTCATGCTGTATTCAGGGCACTAAGACCATGCAGTAAGCACTGAAACTATGCTCTCTGTATGTCCTGGTTTTATCAATGGCTGGCCTGCTTGATTGGCAGGCAGCCGGGCATGTATTCACACCAAACTAAGCCTGCTCTCTCCCCGCCCCTCCCCTTTTCTGGCTACACCAGTGATGTGATTTGTTATTGGCCCGCCTCCTTTATCCCTTTCCACCGGCATCCAAATTCCCAGGACACTGATGTTGGGATCTATAGAATAGTGAAATGAATGAAAGTTTCTCGGATAAAATAGTTACACTAGAAAATGTCTGCAACTCAGCAGTCCAGTTCAACTATTGTGTCCTTCATTTTGCAATTCAGTTATCAATTCACTGATTAGTAAATTAACCCCATTGTCTATTTGTATGTAAAATAACAGCATTGCTGTATACAACACCTAATTTTTGTAGTAAAATTTAATTTACAAGATACACATTCAAAACCAATTACCTCTCTTTTTCAAGACAAAAAGAATACAAGTGATAAAATCATTAACAGATGGGGTTTATTTGTATTTCAGGACATAATCCGAGTGAGTCAAGTTCATATTGAATACACATGGCTTGGAACTGGATAAATAGACTGAAGCGGTCTTAAATCTCCCTGTGCAACTGACTTTATTAGGTACTCTGCTCAGAAACCCAAGTGGAGTTTAAAATCTTATACAGATCACTTTAACCTTTATTATAATTCTCTAAATGCATCTCATTGATGCTTAATTTAACAGTAAACATTTCAATAAAAGAAGAAAATACACTGCATGTCTGTTTTTTTTGTTTTTTTGTTTTTTTCTCTTTGAATGTACTTTGCCAATTATGGCTGATGACTTATTTATTCTCATTATCATGCTGTACATTAGGATATGGTGTATGCAAAAGCAAATAACACAAATATAACTATTTGGTTGCTATACTTATTACAAAGAGAATACAAGAGAGATACACATTTATTTGGTGATCATCAGTGGGGTCATGGCTCCAGACGGCACTGTGACACTCTACCTTTAACAAATCTAGAGTGAGGGACTATATATATGTGCAAGCCCCTGCTAGTGTATACAGTGAAGAAGGGGCCTGAGAGAGTTTTTTTTGTTTTTTGTTTTTTAGTTCTATGTGACATTCTAACTGTGAAGTTTGCTTTTACTGCAAT